TTTATTTATTTACTTATTTTTAAATATATTTTTATTGATTTCAAAGAGGAAGGGAGAGGGAGAGAGAGATAGAAACATTAATGATGAGAGAGAATCATTAATCGGCTGCCTCTTGCATGCCCCCTACTAGGGATGGAGCCTGCAACCTGGGCACGTGCCCCCAACCAGAATCAAACCTGGGACCCTTTAGTCCGCAGGCCAATACTCCACCCACTGAGTCAAACCAATTAGGGCTGGAATCTCCTTTTAAAAAAAGCCTTGTGTACTTGTTGATTATATAACAGAGGATATGATACATAGGGTGAGGTCCAGAGGTTCTGAGCACAGGTCCCCATGGAGTTGGGTGCGACATCCTCCAGGCACATAGGTGTATTCATTAGCCTGGAAGTTTTCCATAACCCGTAGTTAAGGGATTTAATTTAAATTTTTTTGTTATCTAGACTCCTGAGGGCTTAGGTGGAAAGGTGGGGCATTGGGGAAGAGGATCCTGAAGTTTCATGAGAGTGGGGATGAGCAGGGCTGGGACCCTGTTTGTTTTCTGAGTTGGCGTCCTGACTCTTAGTTATCCCAGGTGAGCAGCCCCCCTGCCCTAGCCTCGGTCTCATTCCATGAAACAGGGAAGGAGATTGAGTTGCCTGACCTTTTCTGGCTCTGATGTGGCCTGAGGGGTGTGGGGACCGTGGGCCACGCAGAGAGGCGCTCATTCATACCCCTTCCCCGGCTGCCACAGGTCTTGATTGTCCGCAGCACAACCATCACCCTGACACCCAGCCCAGAGACCGAAGTATCACTCGTCTATCGTGGCTTCATCCACCCACTGCTTCCGGGAGGGCCCGGTGGGCCAGGGGCTGAGGACGTGGCTGTGTGGGCCCGAGCCCAGCGCCTACACGTCCTGGCCCGGATGGCCCGTGGCCCTGACCCAGAGAACATGGTGAGGGTGCCTGGGACACTCAGAGGGTTGTTTATGGTCAATACGGGTGAGGGGATGTGTGGTGCGGAGAAGACTAGGAGAAATCCTTGGGCAGGAGATGTATCCTTAGTGGAGGGAGGGCCATGGAGTGTTCAGTTGTGAACACAGTTTGGGAAATTGTGAAGAGGGTGGGGAAGGTTTGTCTTACCAAGTCAGATTCCCCTGAGGAGGAGGAGGGTCCCTGGTGGATTTGGGGGCACTTGGAGGTTCTTGGAGTCTAAGGAACCCTGAGGCGCCCCTCCTCTTCCCAGGAGGAGGTGGCTGCTAGGTGGGTTTGAAGCTCTCAGAGGTTTCAGAGATGGGGGCTGTGGCAAGTCCTGAGGCCCTGTCTGTCCTCACCCTACTGCAGGAGGAAGTGGGGCGCTGGGTGGCTCAGCAGGAGAAAGAGACGAGGCGGCTACAGCGCCCAGGGTCTGCTCGTCTCTTCCCACTGCCTGGCCGGGCCCACAAGTACGCGGTGGAGATCCGGGGCCAGCTCAATGGCTCGGCGGGCCCTGGGCACAGCGAGCTCACCCTGCTGTGGGACCGGACTGGTGTGCCAGGTGGCAGTGTGAGTACCCAGACCCAGGCCTCTGATCCTCTGGGATTTCTGAACCCCAGGCCACAAACCTTGGCTTCTGAACTCTGGACTCACCTTGCACCCTCCAGGCTCCGCTTCCTGACCCCCAGACTCTGACCTGACCTGACATTCTGACCCCTGCCCACATCTGTACCTCTTCCTTCCCTAACCCCACTGCCCCTGACTTCTGCCCTCCATACTTTGACCTCTGATGTCTAGAATGTTTCAAATACTGATCCCCTTTTGTCTGCGAATGGCCTAAATTCTGACTTGGTACATGCCTGACTTCTCAATCTTATCTCTAAACACTTAGTCTTTAGCTCCAAACTCTGATCCCTACTTCACACCTTGACTCCTGACCCTCAAGTTGGAACATGGGCCCCTGACTTCCTATGCCTCCTCCCCCAGGAGATCTCCTTCTTCTTCCTGGAACCCTACCGCTCCACGGCCTGCGCCTCCTACTCCTCCTGCCTGGGCTGCCTGGCAGACCAGGGCTGCGGCTGGTGCCTGGCCAGCTCCACCTGCCACCTGCGCCAGAGTGGGGCTCACTGCATGGCCAGGGGGGCCCGCAGGTCCTTGCTGGTGCTGGTGCCTGCCCTCTGCCCGCTCTGTGAGGAACATCGAGACTGCCACGCCTGCACCCAGGTGCCTGCCAGACCACTGAGGGGGCAGTTTCAAGTTGGAGGCAACCAAAGCAGGGGACTGGGGAAGAGGGACATGGGCAGCCAAGGGTCCCCAAGGTGGCAGTATGGGGGCATAGCTGGGGCCATTGTCTTTGAGCTGTAGGTAGACATGAGCCAGGTGGGGAGCAGAGGAGAGGGACTGGAGAGGGGGCTCCTGGCAGTCAGGACTTTAGGGGCCAGAAAATCCAATGCGTCGCCTCTTCACCAGAGGGGCATTTATCGGCTTGGGCTGCAGAGTCCACGGGTAGGCCTTCGGGCCTGTGACCTCCGATGGTTTAGACCAGTGATGGCGAACCTATGACACGCGTGTCAGAGGTGACATGCGGACTCATTTTTTTGGTTGATTTTTCTTTGTTAAATGGCATTTAAATATATAAAATAAATATCAAAAATATAAGTCTTTGTTTTACTATGGTTGCAAATATCAAAAAATTTCTATATGTGACACGGCACCAGAGTTAAGTTAGGGTTTTTCAAAATTGCTGACACACCGAGCTCAAAAGGTTCGCCATCACTAGACCATGGTTTCCCTGGAGGGTCCTTCCTTGGGAATGGCAAGGGAGCCACAGGGCTCCAGACTTGCATCCCTCGCTCAGCCAAGTGGAAAGAGTACCTTTCTGTCCCCACCCCACTGTCACCCCCCAGGTCCACAGGGGTCCCAGAAGTACATTTTACTGCCTCTGGTTGGGTCTTGTGCCAGCTCTAGGATCAGTCAGTGTGGCCAGGGGTGGGGATGGCCCCTTGCCTACCTCTGGATCCCAAGGATTGCATTTGCCCCACCTGGACCATACAAAGGGATTCTTGTGCCCAAAACGCGAGAGGTTGCTGGGCAGGCAGAAGCCATGGATGTTGTTGGCTGAAGGGGAAAGTCTGGAGGGGCAGGCAGGGGGAGAGGGCAGGGGCTTGGAGGGGTGGTCTTAGGGGTTGGGTAGGTGAGGGAAGCAGGGCACTGGGAGCCCAAGAGAGAGGGCTAAGCTGGGCTCTTACTTCTCTAACCCCCCAGGACCCCTTCTGTGAGTGGCATCAGAGCACCAACCGCAAAGGGGATGCGGCATGCAGCCGGCGAGGCCGGGGTCAGGGTGCCCTGAAGAGCCCAGAGGAGTGTCCCCCGCTCTGCAGCCAGTGAGCCCCACTGGGCCCAGGAAGCAGGTGTGGGTGTGTGTGTATAAACCAGCCATGGCGTGACCCTGTCTTCACTCCTCACCTCCAGGCGCCTGACCTGTGACGACTGCCTGGCCAACTCAAGCCAGTGTGCCTGGTGCCAGTCCACCCACACCTGTTTTCTGTTTGCTGCCTACTTGGCCCGGTACCCATATGGGGGCTGCCGAGGCTGGGATGACAGGTGCGGTCAGGGTGGGTAGCTGGGCTTATGGAGCGGAGGTTGGAGAGGCGGAGGTGGCTGGGCTCTGACACCCTTCACACCTGCTGCCCTGCAGCGTGCACTCAGAGCCCCGGTGCCGGAGCTGTGACCGCTTCCTGACCTGCCACGAGTGTCTGCAGAGCCATGAGTGTGGCTGGTGTGGCAATGAGGACAACCCCACACTGGGGCGGTGAGGCCTGGGCGGTGGGGCAGGTGGGTGGGCAGGATGGGGTGGGCAGCTCTCCACGGCCCTAATTCTAACGGCTGCCTGTTTCTCTGCCTCTTTGCCTTTTCCTTACCATCATCTCTGTTTTTCTCCCTCCCCCCTTTTCTTAGTTTTTCTCTTTTCTCCCTCTTCACTCTGTCCCTGCTTCTGTGACTTGTTTTCTCTCATTGTCCTTCCTTCTTCTTGACCTCCTGTTTCTGTCTCCTTTCATTGTGTCCCTGTCTCTATCTCGCTTGGGTCTTTCACTGTCGTTTTTGTTTGACTACTCTGTTGCTTCCATTTCTCCTTCTTTCTGTCTCTCCATATTTATATTTCTCTCTCTCTCTGATTGGCTTTCTCTCTCCTTGTAACTATTTCCATCTCTTGTTTCTTTATCATCTCCCACTCCACCACCTTCTTCAATCTCCCACCCTCCAGGTGCCTCCAGGGGGACTTCTCAGGGCCCCTGGGTGGGGGTAACTGCTCCCTGTGGGTGGGGGAGGGCCTGGGGCTGCCCGTGGCCCTCCCTGCCCGCTGGGCATATGCCCGCTGTCCTGATGTGGATGAGTGTCGCCTGGGCCTGGCACGGTGCCACCTGCGGGCGACCTGCCTGAACACGCCCCTCAGCTACGAGTGTCACTGCCAGCGAGGTTACCAGGGTGATGGCATCACATACTGCAATCGCACGTGAGTGGGGCATGGGTTTCCATGGAGATGCTGCCCCGGGGCTGGGGCATGTGGAGATGGGAGGAAGTGATTATGGTGCTGGAATCCCTGCTGTGGAACCAGCATCCCAGTGAGCCCCAGGTTTTTACCTTGCAGACTAGGTCCTCATTAGAGTGACAGGGTCCCCAGTGTAACACTCCTTACTGTGGAGGCAGGTCACCCATGTACTAGTAGTCTTCAGAGTTGCCATGGAGATGGAGGAGAACCAAGTTGAAAGGGGTTTTCATAGAGAACAGATCACTAGTAGTGATGTATAGTTACTATAGAGACAGGAGTTCCCACGTGTGATTGCATTACCTTGGAGACAAGGCCACCCACGTAGTCTAGGACCAGTGGAATGGGCAGTAGCTTGTGATGGTGTTGCCATGGAGATGATGGGATGGAATGGGATGGCAGGGGATGCCTTGGGCACTCTGGGCCTGCCCAGCCCTTTCCCCACCCCTGTCATGGCCCCTCAGGTGCCTGGAAGACTGCGGCCATGGTGTGTGCAGTGGACCCCCTGACTTCACCTGTGTGTGTGACCTGGGCTGGATATCTGATCTGCCCCCGCCCACGCCTGCCCCGGGACCCCCCGGCCCCCGCTGCTCCAGAGACTGTGGCTGCAACTTTCACAGCCATTGCCGAAAGCGGGGGCCTGGCTTCTGCGATGAGTGCCAGGGTGAGCTGCCTTCCTCCCAGACGCCCCTGGACTGGCCTCAAGGGAGCCTCCTCGGGGTTCCAGTTTTCTTTTCTCGGTGTGGGCTTCAGTGTCCCCTCATCCCACTACCTGCTCCTGACCCCTGACCTGCTTCAGTGGCACTCATCTCATTGGTGGGGCCTTAGTCCCCACTCTTAGGACTTGCTATTCCCCCGAGTCTGGGCCTTGGTTACCCTCCTTTGAAGCAGCCTGGTGAGGTCAGGGATCAGGTGAGCCAGTTGGGCAGGCCCCTTCCCACCCTTGTCCCTGACTCTCTGTCCTGCCTGCTGGGCCCTCCACAGACTGGACCTGGGGGGAGCACTGCGAACGGTGCCGGCCCGGCAGCTTTGGCAACGCCACGGGCTCAGGCGGCTGCCGACCCTGCCAGTGCAATGGGCATGGGGACCCACGCCGTGGCCACTGCGACAACCTCAGTGGGCTCTGCTTCTGCCAGGACCACACCGAAGGTGCTCATTGCCAGCTCTGCATCCCTGGCTACTATGGGGACCCCCGGTGAGCCAGGGGCCAGACAGGTGGGATAGGGGTTAGGGACACGTGGGATGGGGTAGGACTGGTCTGACACTGGCTCTTCTCCATCTCCCCAGGGCCGGTGGCTCCTGCTTCCGGGAGTGTGGGGGCCGCGCCCTCCTCACCAACGTGTCCTCAGTGGCACTGGGCTCACGCCGGGTTGGGGGGCTGCTGCCTCCAGGTGGTGGGGCAGTGAGAGCCGGGCCAGGCCTTTCATACTGTGTGTGGGTTGTCTCGGCCACTGAGGTGCTACAGCCCTGTGCTCCTGGGACCCTCTGTCCCCCACTCACCCTCACCTTCTCCCCCGACAGCAGCACCCCCTGCACGGTGAGCTCCGAGGGCACTAGGGTTCAGACCCATGTTTTCCCCACCCAGTTGGACTCCTTATAGACCCTGACCCCCATCATCCCATTTTTTTATCCTTTAAACTCCAAACTCTAGTCCTTCAACCCCCAGCCCAAAGACCTTCCCATTTACCAGATCACTCTTGTTTCCTGGACTCCAAGTCTCCAACCCCCAGATCCTCAAACTGCCTTCCTCAGTGCAGCATGGTAAATATACGGCGTGTGCTAGCTCTCACCAGCTGGTGGTGGCCACCAGGAGCTGTGTATTGAGAAAGAGGCACCAGGTGAGAGTGTCTGATTGATTAGCCATGTCTGCTGTCAACAGGGGGAATGGTGGTCTCCATGCCACAGTTTGACAGTCTGCCCAGTATGTTCAAACAGCCCATTTCCCTGTCTCAGATTGTCCTCTCCTCCTCCTCCCAGACCCCAAGCATCCCTCTTTCTCATCCTCATCACCTCATAATCCTCGCTCTGCACCCCTCCAGCTGAGCTACGTGCTGGCCTTTGATGGCTTCCCACGCTTCCTGGACACTGGCGTTGTGCAGTCGGACCGTAGCCTCATTGCTGCCTTCTGCGGCCAGCGGCGGGACAGGCCCCTCACTGTGCAGGCCCTCTCTGGTATGGGGACCTGGGAGGTGGGGCCTCTGTCCTGGGCTGTGTATCCCTCGCTCCCCTGCATCTTGCTGACCAAGGTGGGCTTAAGACCCAACCCACCTCTGCCACTGACTTGCTGGGTGAGGCAACCCCTTGCCACCTGTGGGTCTCCGTGTCTTCAGCTGAGAGGCAAATAGAGTATTGCTGGGCTGCCTCTGGAGAGAAGGGCCAAGCGGATGTGTCTTGGGGCACACAGAAGGGCTGGTGCGAGGACCCTGAAACCTCCTCAGCCTCGGTTCCCTACCCGGGCTGATGATGTCCTCGGGGCATGTGGCTGGCGGTCATGATTGGGGGTGCTACTGGTATCTCATGGGTAGAGGCCAGAGGTGCTGCTCTATACCCTACAGTGCACAGGAAAGCCCCACAACCAGGCTCAGCAGGGCTGAGGGAAGCCCAGCTCAGGCTGATGGAAATGCACTAGAAATAATTTGTTACCATGTCTGGAAATGCTTCCTTTCGTACTGCAAATCAGAGTGGCTCCAAGGCTGGGAGAGAGAGGCAGAGTTGTAGCTGGCAATCCAGACCCCTCACAGTGAGTGAAGAACCGAGGGGCCCCTCATTTCGTTTCACTCACCAGGTATTTACTGAGCACCTGCAGTGAGCCAGGCCTGAGCTAGAGGTTAAGGGTGCAGCAGTGAACAAGGGGCACAAGTGCGGCCCATGGTTCACTGTGTGTGCGTGTGTGAGGGGAGGACATCAAACAAAGTACACTCAGAATAGTGAGGGATGGAAGGAAGTGGAAGAGAGTGCCTGGCCTGTCGGGGGGAGTCCTGGAGAGCTTCTGTGCAGAGGTGAAGTCTCATTTGAGACCTGAAGGGGGCGGTGTGGGTAAGGGGGACTCCTCAGGGGAGGATTAGCAGGTGCCTGGGCCCTGAGAAGCAGGAGCCGGGCCTGGTGCTGGAGCCAGAGGGCCAGGGGAAGGCGATGACGTCAGAGGGCCTTCAGGGCCTTTTTATTTTTTTCCAATATAATGTTGACTCATTTTTTTACATATTATTAATTCCTGTCTCCCCTGCCTCCTTCCTCCTCCTCTGCCCCCCACATCTTTTTAAGGAGACTTTGAAAGAACAGTAGGGAGTTGTGGAAGGTTTGGAGCTTGCGAGTGACAGGTTCAGATTCATGTTTTTTAAGGATCACGTGGGATGACTGAAGGGCAGAGTGTAGGTGAGCCAGGGAGACTAGTGGGGGGTCAGACAACTGAGGAAGTGGCAAGCAGTGGCTGAATAGGAGAGAAATTTAAGCTTTAAAACCAATAGAACTTAATGGGCTGGACAAGGGAGAGGGGTGCAGTGAGTATAGATGATCGGGTGGCTGGCTTCCCTGCCCAATTACATGGGTTTTTCTCAAAACCTGGGGATGGAGCCGCGCCTGGACCTTGGCCTTGCTACATGCCGCTGGCCTCTCTCCCAACAGGGCTGCTCGTGCTGCACTGGGAGGCCAACGGCTCCTCGTCCTGGGGCTTCAACGCTTCAGTGGGCTCTGCCCGCTGTGGGTCAGGGGGCCCTGGGAGCTGCCCTGTTCCCCAGGAGTGTGTGCCCCAGGATGGGGCCGCAGGGGCTGGTCTCTGCCGCTGTCCCCAGGGCTGGGCTGGCCCACACTGTCGCATGGCTCTGTGTCCTGAAAACTGCAATGCCCACAGCGGGGCAGGGACCTGTAACCAGGTACAGGCGGGATGGGGTGAGTTAGGTGGGACAGGGGTGGTGCTCAGGGCTCCCGCCGAGCCTCCTCCTTCTGTCCCCCAGAGTCTGGGCGTGTGCATCTGTGCTGAGGGCTTCGGGGGCCCCGACTGTGCCACGAAGCTGGACGGCGGACAGCTGGTCTGGGAGACCCTCATGGACAGCCGCCTCTCAGCTGTGAGTTGTGGCAGCCCAGTTTCTGGGGAGGTTCCACACAGCCTGGATCATTCTCCCTCCTCCACTCCTGGGACCACTCCCCAGACCCTGTATTCAGCCTGATACTGTCATGACCTTAGCCTGACCCCTCATGTCCCCACCCCCACCCTCAGGACACTGCTAGCCGCTTCCTGCACCGCCTGGGGCACACCATGGTGGAGGGACCTGATGCCACCTTGTGGATGTTTGGGGGCCTGGGCCTCCCCCAGGGGCTGCTGGGAAACCTGTACAGGTGAGAACTGCCTGGGGAGGTGGGATACCTAAATGAGAGAGAGAAGGTCACCTCAGCGATGCTGAGATACCTGTCACATAAGAGTCCCTCGGGGATGCAGAAGAGGACACTCCAAAGGACACTGTGACACTTGTCCCAGAAAGTTCACCTCAGGGATGGATACTTGGGTGGTGTTACTCTGGGGGATCGTAAGGTGACTGTCATAGGAGGGTCACCCTAGGGGCTGCTGGGATATCTGCCAAGTGTGGGGTCACCCAGGGGATGCTGGGATGACTGGACAGTGAGGCTGCTTTTTTTTGTCGGTTCCAGGTACTCAGTGAGTGAGTGGAGGTGGACACAGATGCTGGCAGGAGCTGAGGACGGAGGCCCAGGCCCCTCACCCCGATCCTTCCATGCAGCTGCCTATGTGCCCGCTGGCCGTGGTGCCATGTACCTGATGGGGGGGCTCACGGCTGGGGGCGTCGCCCGAGACTTCTGGGTCCTCAACCTCACCACCCTACAGTGGCGGCAGGAGAAGGTGAGCATGTCTCCCCACCCCCAAGCCCTAAAACCGGGCTCTGGCTAAGATGACCAGGGAGCTCCTGCCAGCTTCTTCCCCAGAGGACATGGCTTCCTCCTGGGCTCCAGCACAAGTCCCAGAATTGAGTTTCATTGGCCGTCTGGGTCACATTGTGTTCCCCAGCTGATCTGGTCAAGGGGTCTGATGCCCTGGTGGGCCAGCCTGTGGAGCGGTACAGTCAGCCTACGCAGCCAGAGCGAGAGCAGAGGGGCAAGGGCTTCCCAAAGGAGCACAGGCTGTTGCTGCCTGAAGAGGTGACGCTGAGAGGCAGGCATGGGAAGAGGCCTGCTGCACACCTGCTGGGACCGGGGCCGGGCCGAGGGCCTGTGGTCTGATCAGCCCGGGCAGCTCACTATCTCCTTAGCGAGTTCAAGCGGAGTGTGGGGAGTTTTGAGTCTCACTTCTACCCTCAAGATGACCCCTGACCTCTGGCCTCCCATGACCTCTGCCCTCTGTCTCTCAGGCCCCTCAGACTGTGGAACTCCCAGCTGTCGCTGGTCACACCCTCACTGTGCGTAGAGGCCTGTCTTTGCTCCTGGTGGGCGGTTACTCTCCTGAAAATGGCTTCAACCAGCAGCTGCTCGAGTACCAGCTGGCGACTGGCACCTGGGTATCCGGAGCGCAGAGTGGGACACCCCCCACAGGTGGGCTAGGGACCGGAGAGCACAGCGTCTCTCATCCACCCCACGCTCTATGGCCGCTGCCCCTCACACCTTGTTACCTCCCTGTCTTCCCCTGACCCTACCCAGATCCTCAGGTACCATCTCTTGAGAATGAGGAGTCAGTTTCTCTGTCTAACACCCTCCCCTTGACTCCATGAAAAGCTGGCCTCTTCCTGTCCAATAATGCTGGTCACCATCTCCTCTCCCAAGAGCACTATCCCTCAGATAGTCTCCTTTCTCTTCCTCTCCTTCTATTCTTTGATCACTGTCCCCAGGACATTCTGGCCACCCCGTCTCCCTCTTCCCTTCCCCAGAGCCTCTGATGGTTATCCCTTGAGCTCACGGGAGAGAGAGGGGTTGGGAAGGGCTCCTGAGTCTGTGGCCTCAGGGCCTGGGAAGGTGTTGTGGTCATGAGAAGGGGAGCCCGGGAAGGTGGGGGCCTTCCTGATCCCCAGGCCTTCCCCAGCCTCTGTTCTCACTCTCCCCCGCCCCCCCCACCGCCCAGGTCTCTATGGTCATTCTGCCGTCTACCATGAGGCCACCGACTCTCTCTACGTGTTTGGGGGTTTCCGCTTCCATGTGGAGCTGGCAGCCCCGTCCTCCGAGCTCTACTCCCTGCACTGTCCTGACCGAACCTGGAGCCTGCTGGCCCCTTCTCAGGGGGCAAAGGTCAGGAAAGGTGGTCTTGACAGATGGATGTAGTGGGTGGAAGGGAGGGGGCCTCCCTATCCCAATGATCCAGGACTAGTTCTAACCTGGACTCCTACTTCCCCTTCTTCACAGTCCCTTGAACTGAACTGTGACATCCCAAGTCTCCCCTGCTTCCATCCCTGGCTTGGAAGAAGGAATCCTAGACTAGGAGTTCAGAGGCCTGGGTTCTGTTCCTCCCCGCTCTTGGTGCAGCCCTGGCAGGCCCCTCCCCCTTCCTGGCCTCCCCATCTGGAACTGGGGCTCTGAAGCTCCTTGCACTTCCTGCCTTCAAGGCCAAAAGAGCGGGGTGTGGGAGAATTTGCAACCTTGGATGTGCTGGTTAGAGACAATTGCATTTTCCGTCCACCCGACATATTTCCAAGTCCTTCACAGATGCCCCCAGCCCCGCTGGTGAGGTTACATGAAAATGTGACGTCCATTTTAAGCAGTCTGGGCTAGTTCCTGGGGAGTAGCTTGTAACCAGTCTAGGGCCTGCACTTGGTGCCAGGGGTCTGCTTGTCCAGGGACCAGGCCCACAGGTAACGGAGCTCACAGAGCACAGGGTGTGGGAGTGCAGGAACAGGAGGTGGCTCTGGGGCCCGCTGAGGAAGGAGGGAGGTTTCCTGGAGGAAGGAGGTGAGATCTGAGGAAGGATCACTGGGTGGGCTGGTAGGTGCTGGGGTGTAGGGAGAATCAGCGTGGCCAGTGGGCTGAGAGAGTGAGCAGAGGACTGTGGGCTCTGACAGGCCACCTGTCTCCCCAACAGCCCCGCCCCCGACTTTTCCACGCCTCAGCGCTGCTAGGGGACACCATGGTGGTCCTGGGGGGACGCTCGGACCCTGATGAGTTCAGCAGCGATGTGCTGCTCTACCAGGTCAACTGCAACTCCTGGCTGCTGCCTGACCTCACCCGTAAGTTCATTGCTGTCCCTGCGAGCCCCCGGCCTGGGACCCCTGCTCATTAGGAGTCACTTGGGTCCCTCAGACTCTCAGGCAAAGCTCCTGTCCTCTCCATGGTATCTAAACACCCAAGGGGATGCCCTCCTTCCTTCCTTTTTTTTTCTTTTTTCTTAGAAAAGTTTATTTTGCTGCTTTTATTGGGGTCTATGGTGGGGGCCTAGGATTTCTACTGGCTCACTCATTATTGGTGAATTTAATACATAAGAGCAGAATTTAAAGCACAGGAAGAGCCCTAACCGGTTTGGCTCCGTGGATAGAGCGTTGGCCTGTGGACTGAAAGGTCCCGGGTTCGATTCCGGTCAAGGGCATGTACCTTGGTTGCGGGCACATCCCCAGTTGGGGGTGTGCAGAAGGCAGCTGATTGATGTTTCTCTCTCATCGATGTTTCTAACTGTCTATCCCTCTCCCTTCCTCTCTGTAAAAAAAGCAATAAAAAAATATATTTAAAAAATAGGGGTCACAGATAGAGAGAGGGAAATAAAGAGAGAGAGAAGTGTCTGGGGTTCTGCTTATATCAAGGTTGAGGGTGAGGGCCTAGGGTTTGGTGGGCTCACTATTTCTTGGTGAATTTAAAACTTTAAGAGGAGGATTTTAAAGCACGGGGAAGAGAAAACAAACAAGTAGCCCAAATAGTCACATACTGAAATCAACCAAGTTCTCTAAAACAGAGGCACCCCCATCAGGGAGGCACCCGGCTCTATCTACCTGGTCCTGGGGTGGCAACGTGTGACTCCAGATAGCCTTCCTTGAAGCAGATGCCTCTTTGAAAAGGATGTCTGGCAGTCAGAGCCTCAGCCAGGCACTTGCATTACAAGAAGAAAAACAACAACTGTTAGGGCTGTACTGCAACATTTGTCTCATTCTTAATTTTACTCGCTGCTCCTCTTTTTCTCTCTGTGTCTCTCTCCCTCTCTTTGGTTTTGCTATCTGTGTCTGATTCCCTGGCCTGTCAGGCCTTGTCTGTCGTTCCTTGTCCTGCCCCGACTGTCTTTCCTCTCCTGAGCTTCTCTCACTGCTTGCTCCGTGTCCCTCTGTGGCTGGTATCTTTGTGTAGGTCTCTTCCCGGGGTCTCCTGCCTGTTCTCTCTTTCCCCAGGCCAGGCCTATGTGGGGCCACCGATGGAGGAGTCTGTGGCCCATGCTGTAGCAGCAGTGGGGGGCCGCCTGTACATCTCAGGGGGCTTTGGGGGAGTGGCCCTGGGCCGCCTGCTGGCCTTGACCATGCCCCCCGACCCCTGTCGCCTGCTGCCGTCACCTGAAGCTTGTAACCAGTCTGGGGCCTGCACCTGGTGCCATGGGGTCTGCTTGTCTGGGGACCAGGCCCACAGGTAATGGTGCTGACTGGCAGCTCAGGGGAGGGTGGTGCTGGTGCTCTCCGAGGGGGTTCTGTGCTGGGCCAGGCTGGATGCCGGCTCACATGGGAATATGGGCAGCTCATCACAAGGCAGGGTGGGCTGGGCGACTCCGAGGGGGCAGTCCTGCTTGTGGGAGCGTTATCCATGGGGCTCAGGCACCACCTAAAGGAGCTGGGTCTGAACTGGGCCCTAAATGACCAGGAGACTTTACACCAGCAAAGTTTCAGAGGTGGGGCTGCGATTGGCGTATTTGAAAGACCACCTGAGTTTGGAGAACATGAGACTGGAAAGTTGGATGGGGTCGGCTCAGAAAGCACTTCCCCAGTGCTTGGCCGAGGCACTGGCTCCATCCAGTCCACAGACCTCCTCATCTGTAGTTTGGGAAGCTGAACACGTCAGGAAGCTGAGCTCGCTGTCGTAGGTTTAGCACGGACTCATTTGGCTCTACTTGTCCCATTAAATGTGCCACCATCTTTACTACAGCAGTAGTAGAGGGTTGGATTTATGGGGTGTTATGTAAGAATGCGTACATCCACTGCTTTTCTGAAGTCTGGAAAGTTCTGAAGCACACGGGCTTTCAAAGATTTTGGGTAAAGGGTTATGGACATCCACTGTGAATGACAGGGAGTCACAAAGGTTTGTGCAGGAGGTGGCAGGGGCAGCCCTGGGCAGAAAGTGAGGTTGGGGCTATTGTGAGGGAGGGAGTGACCAGGGGAGGCTGCAGGTAGAAACGAGACAGGAGGCCAGGGCAAGGGGACGAGGTCTGAGCAAAGGTCTGCAGAGGTGGGCAGGAGGGGACAGTCAGAGAAATTCAAGAGGCTGAAAGCCTTGGTGCTGGAGGGGCAGGAGGATGTAACATGTTGTTTAGTGTCACTGGCCTGGGTGACCGGTGGACATGGGACCATTGGCAGGTGGGATGGGGAAGGAGCAGGATTGAGTCTTGTGCTGAGTGCAGTTTGGCATACAAGAGGGCCTGGAGGCGGGGATGGGAGGAGGAGGGACGAGGCCTGGCTGGGTGTGATGAGCCAAGGCCTTGTGTCTTCCCAGACTGGGCTGTGGGGCACCGGCTTGCTCCCCAATGCCTCATTCCCCTGAGGAATGCCGACGTCTCCGGACCTGCAGTGAGTGCCTTGCCCGCCATCCCCGGACCCTGAAGCCTGGAGATGGAGAGGTGAGTGGTGTGAGGGAGGGTGGAGGGGCTCAGGAACCACCATGCTCTTCAGCTGTGATTGGGTGGGAGGATCTGGGTCAGGAGGGATGCTGGGGACCCCGAGGACCTCATAGAGTCTGTCTTCCCCCACCAGGCATCTGTCCCCCGCTGTAAGTGGTGTACCAATTGTCCCGAGGGTGCCTGCATCGGGCGCAACGGGTCCTGCACCTCAGAGAATGACTGTCGGATCAATCAGCGAGAGGTCTTCTGGGCAGGGAACTGCTCAGAGGCTGCGTGTGGGGCTGCCGACTGCGAGCAGTGTACCAGGGAGGGCAAGTGCATGTGGACACGGCAGTTCAAGAGGACAGGTGAGCACCGAGGCTGGGTCCCTGAAAGGAGAGTTTGGGGGCCTGGACTCCTGTCTCTGAGGGAGGAGGGGCTGGAGATATGGACTCCTGATCTGAGGGAGGAGGGACTGGGGGCCTGGACTCCTGGTCTGAGGGAGGAGGGGCTGGGGGCCTGGACTCCTGGTCTGAGGGTGGAGGGTCTGGGGGCCTGGACTCCTGGTCTGAGGGAGGAGGGGCTGGGGGCCTGGACTCCTGGTCTGAGGGTGGAGGGTCTGGGGGCCTGGACTCCTGGTCTGAGGGAGGAGGGGCTCCCAGCATCCCAGTTCTAATCACTATGCCCCCAACCCTAGGGGAGACCCGCCGCATCCTCTCTGTGCAGCCCACCTACGACTGGACATGCTTCAGCCACTCTCTGCTGAACGTGTCCCCGATGCCAGTGGAATCATCACCCCCATTGCCCTGCCCCACTCCCTGTCACCTCCTGTCCAACTGCACCTCCTGTCTGGACTCCAAGGGTGCGGACGGGGGCTGGCAGCACTGTATCTGGAGCAGCAGTCTCCAACAGGTACTGCACTCTGCCAGGGTCCGGGCTCTTTCCTCTCTGCCCTGCCCTGACTCTCTCCGCTGCCTCCTTCTCTATCCTGCTTCCTCTCCATCTCCTCGCTCTGGGTCTCACCTTCACTCCCTTTCTCTTCTCTCCTCCCAGCGTCTCTGTCTTCCCTCCTTGCCTCGTGAGCCTCCCTGTGTCTTCTTGCCACACTCTCTCAGCTCTTCCTCACGCACTCAGCCCTCCCCGCCATCCTTCCATGACTCCTAACCATCCCTCTTCCTACCAAACCCTTCCACTTCTTCCTCCATCTCTTTCTCTCTCTGCGTTTGAAACTTTTGCTTTTAAGAAACAGAAACCCACTTGAGCTAGTTTTATGATAAGGAACTGGGTGTATTTGATGGGATGTAGACAGGAAATACTGCTGCTCTATGGTTCCTGGGCCATGTGGTCTCGGATCTCAGCTGTTCTCTGCATGTCTCCATCCTCCGGTTTCTCAGCTCGGTGATAACACACATGGCTAAATAGCAGCCCTGACCCTCAGTCTAGGTGACGTTCTAATTCTAGAGACCACAGTCATCTCTGTTCATTGGTTCGCTGACATTCTCAAAGGGACTTCAGCTCAGCTGAGGAGTTAGGTGTCCAGCCTTGGCCCAAGGGGACAGCCAGAGAGGGGTAGGAGCACATGATTCTAACTTAGGGTTCAGACCCGCCCCTCATCTCTGGCTGTGGGCTGGAGAGATAATTCTGGAAGGTCTGGGGAGGCACTATATATGCCAGTGACAGTCTGCCCCTTGACTGCCCAGTACATACTCTCTCATAAAGCCCATTCTTTTAAAAAAATTTTTTATTGATTTTGTAAAGGGAGGGAGAGAATGAGGGAAGGAGGGAGAGAGAAACATCGATTGGTTACCTCTCGCACACATCCTGATGGGATTAAACCTGCAACCTGGGTGTGTGCTCTGACCAGGGGTTGAACTCCCTTTTGGTGTATGGGATGACGCGCCAACCAACTGAGCCACCCGGCCAGGGCATAAAGCCCATTCTTAAGGTGCCTCTGCCCAGCATGCTTTACTGTCCCAGTGACAGACATTGAAAGCATTTATCCTCCCACCCTTCCCAGCGGCAGACAAGATTCACCTCCTGCTGTCATATCTGGAAGCAGGGTCACTGGGCCAGAGTTCCGAGTCTCCAGTTCCCACCAGTGTCCATGCCCATTCATATCTTCAGTTGTAAGACCCAATCGAGGTGTGACTCCCCATCTCAACCCATGAGTCTACACGAATCCTTGGTAAAATAAGACTGATATCAACAGACCCCGTGTAAGGTGTTTCTTTTTTTTTTTTATCGATTTCAGAGAGGAAGGGATAGGGAGAGAGAGAAACATCAGTGATGAGAGAGAACCATTGATCCGCTGCCTCCTGCATGCCCCCCACTAGGGATTGAGCCCGCAACCGGGCATGTGCCCTGACCAGGAATCGAACCATGATATCTGGGTTCATAGGTAGATGCTCAACCACTGAGCCAAACTGGCCGGGCCCCATCTGAGGTGTTTCAACACCAGTGACCAATTCACCAGTTCTCCAGATACAACCTGGAAGCCAACAACTCAATACACTTCTGACACTCTCCACCTGGAGCAGTGCCAGATCCCACAAGTTAAAGAGCTCAGAAGACTGCCCCGCTCCAGACGTCAGTCACAGGTCCAGGCCTCCTGCGCTTCTGACCCACCAGCTATAAACCCAGTGCCCAGCAACCCTACTGCAGGTTTGCTGATTTGCTAGAACAGCTCACAGAACTCAGAGAAGCATTTCCTTACTAATGCCAGTGTATTACAAAGGATGTGGTTTAGGAAGAGCCACGTGAGGAGGTTAATAGGGCCAGGGGAGGAGGGTGTACAGAGTTTCCATGCCCTCTCTGGGCACACTAGCCTCCCAGTGGATGTGTATACCAACTCTGAACCTTGTGTTTTTCAAGAGTTTTTATAGAGCTCAATCACCAGGTCAGTGGGTGGGGCTAAAAGTGAGAAACATCAGTGATGAGAGAGAACCATTGATCCGCTGCCTCCTGCATGCCCCCCACTAGGGATTGAGCCCGCAACCGGGCATGTGCCCTGACCAGGAATCGAACCATGATATCTGGGTTCATAGGTAGATGCTCAACCACTGAGCCAAACTGGCCGGGCCCCATCTGAGGTGTTTCAACACCAGTGACCAATTCACCAGTTCTCCAGATACAACCTGGAAGCCAACAACTCAATACACTTCTGACACTCTCCACCTGGAGCAGTGCCAGATCCCACAAGTTAAAGAGCTCAGAAGACTGCCCCGCTCCAGACGTCAGTCACAGGTCCAGGCCTCCTGCGCTTCTGACCCACCAGCTATAAACCCAGTGCCCAGCAACCCTACTGCAGGTTTGCTGATTTGCTAGAACAGCTCACAGAACTCAGAGAAGCATTTCCTTACTAATGCCAGTGTATTACAAAGGATGTGGTTTAGGAAGAGCCACGTGAGGAGGTTAATAGGGCCAGGGGAGGAGGGTGTACAGAGTTTCCATGCCCTCTCTGGGCACACTAGCCTCCCAGTGGATGTGTATACCAACTCTGAACCTTGTGTTTTTCAAGAGTTTTTATAGAGCTCAATCACCAGGTCAGTGGGTGGGGCTAAAAGTTATACCCCTCTAATCATTTGTTCTTTCTGGTGACCCTCTCCAAGTCACCTCAGTAGCATAAACTCATGGGAGAAAGGGGCTCCTGGTGAATTGTAGCTTTGTGCCAGGAATCGGACAAAACCCAAATTATTTTTTTGTGTTGCACCACATCATCCTGTAGGCAGGTTGTACAAATTAAATGGGAGGATGTGTTGATAGAACATGGAGCAGAGCCTGCCATTAAGTAAAAACTCAGCAACGCCCCAGGTTCCACCCACGGGAAGATTCCCAATCTCCACTTTCTGGGACACACCCGGAGGATCCCTGCATGGGGTGGGGAGTGGATGTCCCTGTGAGGGCTCTCAGTGTGACCCTGCAGTGTCGGTGCTGAACAAGCGGAGGCCTCTCCTCCCCCAGCCTGGGCTCTATCTGGTGATGGAACGTCTCCCAGATATTATTGAGATTGCCATCATTCGTCTCTGTGGTGCTCCAGGGACCAGAAAGAGAGCACGTGCTGCTCCCCCCGCCGCTGTGGGCCTGCCAGGCTCTCAGGGCAGCTCCAGGCCTGAGGCAGGGGAAGTGATGGAGAGCACCAAGTTGATTCTGCCTGCGAATGTGAGAGGACTTCCGCCAGATCTTCTGGTTAAAGTGTTGGCTCAGGTTTTTAAAAACCACCACAGCACAGACCAAGCATAAGAGTGTGCAGGCCAGGGCTGTTATGATCTGGCTCAGGGGCAGCTGTATTTCAACCATCCAGCATGTTCCTTTATGGCTTTGGCCTCAGAGCCTGGCACAGGCAAGAGAGTGCTCTCTTCCCTGGCTGGCTGACTTCTTTCCTTCCCTTTCTCCCTTCAGCAATAATATATATAATTGTTGACAGTATTACAGATGTCTCCCTTCCCCCCACCCCTTTAACCTTTACACCAGTTTCTTTTTTTTTTTTTTTTAATTCTAACTCAAGGACTTTTTTTTTTTTCTAGCCAACATCTTTTTTTTTTTTTTAATACATTTTATTGATTTTTTACAGAGAGGAAGGGTGAGGGATAGAGAGTTAGAAACATCGATGAGAGAGAAACATCGATCAGCTGCCTCCTGCACACTCCCTACTGGGGATGTGCCCGCAACCAAGGTACATGCCCTTGACTGGAATCGAACCTGGGACCCTTGAGTCCACAGGCTGACGCTCTATCCACTGAGCCAAACCGGTTAGGGTGCAAGGACATTTTTTTAATTGATTTTTAGAGAGAGTGGAAGGGAGAGGGAGAGACAGAGAGAAATACCAATGTGAGAGAGACACATCGATTGGTTGCCTCCCGCATGGGCTGGGAGTCTGTAACCGAGGTACATGCCCTTGACTGGAATCGAACTCAGGACCCTTCAGTTTGCTCTATCCACTGAGCAAAACTGGCTAGGGCCACCACATTCTTTATTGAGCACCTCCCTTATGCCCAGGCACTTTGCTAGGCTGTGGGCACATCATAGATGAGCTTGGATCCTGCTCTCGGAACTTACATTCGTATGTCTCTGCCAGGAGCACAGGCAATGCAGATGGGCAGCATCGCATTTGGCCATTAGGGAGGTCATAGCAGAAGGCGCTGTGCAGACTGGAGCCTTAGGCTTCTCTCCACCAACTTGCAGATTGCTCTCCTGTCTGCCGATGGGTGCACTAAATTTAGATCCAGAGGCCTAGCCTGGTAGAGAATTTGGCAGTTGAGCAAGGCTCAGCTCACCGCTGGCCATAACCCTCAATGGGCTCAAAGCTCCGGCCACAGCAGTCGGGGTTTTCTATTTCAGGATTGCATGCTGGCTTTGGTTTTTCCTAAGTGCTGCCAGCCAACCAGCCCAGACGAATCTCTTTCCTCTTATACTTTACTTAAGGCCCGAGCAGTAAATAAAACGGTCTTATTCACTGAGGTCCGCTCCCAAGAGCCTGACCCTCATTACGCACCTTGTCTGGGTCTCAGGATGTGATAAGCGATGGCATGTGAGCTGCTGCTCAGCCGCTGACGGTGGACTTCTCAGCTTCCCAGGCCAGGACGGGAGCTGTTGCCCCAGCAGCCAGGTCCTCCTGATTCTCATGTCTATCTCCACCTGGGATCATTGTAAGAAGCATCTGGGCCCTGAGCCAAGGGGGTAAAGAGGACTCACTGCACCAACACAGCGGACCTCTGGGAAGCCTGGTGGAGAGTGCAGCCAGGTGTCCCTGGGGACGGGAGCTGGAGCTGGAAAGCCGCCTCTCCATCGGTGTTTGGGGGTGTGGTGCTTATCTTTGCTTTCTTTTCCTGCTTCTTCCTCTCCTCGTCATTGCTGTCATTTGCTCATTCAAACGGCCCTGAAGCCCGGGTTACATAATCTTCTAGTTTCAAGGGTGTCCCTAGTCTGACTCAGTTATGGATGCTTGAGAGGGAGAGTGCCATGATGACCCAGGTGGTGTCCACTTTGGCCCACCCAGCTGTGGCCAGGGAGGGTGAGCTCTCTGAGAAAAGGGTGTAGCTGGGAAGATACCCAGGATGTGTTTATCTGACCCAGTGGATCTGCATTTCTCCTCCTCTGGACAGTGTCTGAGCCCCTCATACCTGCCCCTGCGATGCATGGCTGGAGGCTGTGGGCGGCTGCTCCGAGGGCCCGAGAGCTGCTCCCTGGGCTGTGCTCAGGCAACCCAGTGCGCCCTGTGTCTGCGGCGCCCCCACTGTGGCTGGTGTGCCTGGGCGGGCCAGAATGGGGGTGGCCGCTGCCTGGAAGGTGGACTCAGTGGCCCCCGTGATGGTGAGAGGGGCTCGGGGGTGGGGTGAGAGGGGCTGGCAGGGAGCATGGAGGGGTGCTGGGGGCTGTCTCAGAGGTGGGGCTCAGGGGAAGTAGGAGCAAGGGCCTGGGTGGCTGGGTGGGAGATACAGAGGCCCCAGTGAAGCCCTGCATCTTGTGCTAGGGCTGACGTGTGGGCGTCCTGGGGCCTCCTGGGCCTTCCTGTCCTGCCCTCCTGAGGACGAGTGTGCGAACGGGCACCATGACTGCAATGAGACTCAGAACTGCCATGACCAGCCCCACGGTTATGAGTGCAGCTGCAAGACGGGCTACCTCATGGACAAGTGAGGCTGCAGCCGGCCTGGGGCCTGGGGTGGAGTCCAGGGAAGAGGGTCCAGGGGAGAGGGTCCGGACAGACTGGAGTAGGAGAGTGTAAGGAGCAGTAAGGGATGGAGCATGGACCAAAGCAGGGTGAAAGAAAACGGTCCAAGGCGTGATGGTGGTAGGATTGATCCAGGGGGGCTGGGTCGTGGAGGGCAAGGTTATGAATTTGATGGGGTACCCCAGGAAGAGGGGCTGTGGGCAGGCTCCTACAGAGGGGGGAGATGGAACAGCAGGGTGAGGACGGTGAGGGTGGGCTCGGCCACTGCCCTGCCCTGACCCCGCCCCGTCCCTGCAGTGTCACGGGGCTGTGCCGCCCAGTGTGCGCCCAGGGCTGCGTGAATGGCTCGTGCGTGGAGCCTGACCACTGCCGCTGCCACTTTGGCTTTGTCGGCCACAACTGCTCCACGGAGTGTCGCTGCAACCGCCACAGCGAGTGTGCTGGCGTGGGGGCCCGTGACCACTGCCTGCTCTGCCACAACCACACCAAGGTGGGCCGCCCAGGCCTCGGGCCTGACCCCGGACCGGTCTTTCCTTGCTTTCAGCCCATGTTCCGGCATCTTGAGCCTCAAACGGGGTTGGGGATGGCATTACCCTGTCCCAGAGAGGTGTGGGAAGGCTTTGGGGACACTGCTCAGGTTGAATTCACAGAGGGGCTGCCTTGGAATAGTGGACAGTTGGTGCTGGGCCAGGGAGGGTGGTTATGTGGAGGATGATTTGGAATAGTTTAGGGAAGGCGCTTTCTGAGCTCAGCACTTTGGGTTGTAAGGACCGACCCCCTGCCACTAGAGGTGCGTAAGTGAGGGCGGCAGGGGGAAACAGATAGGCTGGGATTGCCCACGCCAAGTGCCAAGCCTGCTGCCCTTTTGTGGGAATCTCAGAACCTAGAACCTCCCCACTGTCGTGCCCCCCCCACCCCCGCGCCCCACCATGATTCTCCAGTCCTTCTGACCACATTGTCCCTGGCTTCCAGGGCAGCCACTGTGAGCAGTGCCTCCCGCTGTTCGTGGGTTCTGCTGTGGGGGGCGGGACCTGCCGGCCCTGCCACACCTTCTGTCGTGGCAACAGCCACGTCTGCATCTCCAGGAAGGAGCTTGAAATGGCTAGGAGGGAGCCAGAGAAGTACTCCCTGGATCCCGAGGAGGTGAAGGGACTGGGATGTCGAACTCCTGGGTCTGAGGGAGGGGGGCTGGTCCATGCCTTCTCGTGATTACACTGTCCTTCCTTGGCCAGATTGAAAACTGGGTGACAGAGGGCCCCAGCGAAGACGAGGCTGTGTGTGTAAACTGCCAGAATAACAGCTATGGGGACAAATGTGAGAGCTGCCTCCACGGCTACTTCCTCCTGGATGGGAAGTGCACCAAGTAAGTGGACGGGCCTAGGTCCTTTGCCCTATTCATTGGGCAGAGCTCTGGGAGTCAGACCCCTCCTCAGTCCTCAGGAGAAGATGAAATCCCCAGGGAGCCCCCGGGCCAGGTGTGGGGGGAAGGAGCTGGACTCAGATGGGAGACCCCCAATCTCAGAGGCAGTGCTGAGGTGCAGGCTACAGAGCAACCCTGGTGGAGACTAGAGGGCAGAGAGAGGGCTGCTGAGGGAAAGGCCTCAAGATACCCTCCCGGCCTGCCTTCCTTCTGAATGGTCAGCTCAAGCTGGGCTCTGGTCCTCACCCTGCCACTTAGCAGCTCTGTGGTCTTGGGTGAGGGCTGGACCTCTGAGCCTGTTTTCTCTTCTGGGCTGGTTTGGAGCTCACATATGCAGCGTCCAACAGGGCCCCTGCAGGTCATGAGAGCACTATAACCCCCGTCTCCTCCCCTCCTCAGATGCCAGTGTAATGGCCACGCGGACACCTGTAACGAGCAGGACGGGACCGGCTGCCCGTGTCAGAACAACACAGAAACGGGCACCTGCCAGGGGAGCTCCCCCAGTGACCGCCGAGACTGCTACAAGTACCAGGTGTGGCTGGAGACACGAGTCACGGGCCCAGGGCCCCGCAGCCCCCAGGGATCAGAGCTGGGAGGAGGCAGCCTGGCCCAGGCAGGACCGACATTGTGGTTTTGAACTCTGAGGTCATGGGATCAAGGGCAGCTTGATCGACTGTTTCTGAGGCCCAGTCAGTTTCAGGCCCCGGGCAGTGAGGCTGGGCGACCCAGAAATGAGCCCCTTGGGGGATCACTCAGGCTCGTGAGGAGACAGACTCCACTGTAGATAGTCACGACTTAAATGTTGCAAATGCCAGGAAACCCATTTGTAGTAGCTTAAACGAAAAAGAAATAGTATTGGCTCTCAAAACTGGGGTCTGGAGTCTGCCCTCAGGAGTGGTTGGATCCAGGCGCTCACACAGCGCCGTCAGGAGTATCTCTTCCCTTCACACTGACTGCTTTCCTTGTTGGTTTCTGTCTCAGGCAGGTTTCCTCCAAGTGGCAGCTCCTACATAATGACCTTGAGCTGATAGGGGATCTTCATGTCGTTACTGACACCCATATTCAAATTCCTTGAGTCCATTTCCTTTCTTTGGCCAGGGGGGCTCCTGGAACCCCTGCATTAGCCACCAGGTTGGCTGCCTGTTGCAAGCTCGCCTCCCACAGAATGGATATTCCATGCTCCCTCCTTGGAGTACAGCTCTCCCCCACCCCCCCGACTTCTCTCTCTAGTTTAGAAGGGAGAAAAAATCCCTGTTTGCCTCAGTCACCCCCACCCATCTACAGAAGTATCATATCTACAAAGATGCAACTCACCCAGAATGCCAGCGGAGCTTCGCAGGCCTTACTGACGCTTGACATTTCCATCCTGGACCAGAATTGTTGCTTTCTTGATAAATAATCAGAGGCCCATTGGCCTTAAAAACACACAAAAAGAAGTCCCAGGGATTAACTCAGCCCTCCTCCTCCAGCAGCTCTGTCCACAGCTATGACACAGCGGTTTCTTTAGGTTCTAGTAACGATAGCAGTAGGGAGGATGGATGTGGGAGGCCCGTCACCGAGGGGCGCTATGCTGTGGAGACAGTGGAGATGGCACAGAAGTGGAAGGCTCTTCAGGGCTGTGCTGGGCCTTGGTGAGGTGTAGATATAAGAGGAAAACGAGGCTCAGAGACGTGCCATGTCCTCTTTCAGGTCAGCCAGCCAGTTGGGTTTGGAGCCTGGACTGATCCTGGTCTGATCCTAGAGCCTGAGTGGTTTCCACTGGACAAAATAGCTGTGATCCATCCACTCATTCACGCATTTACTGAGCACCTACTATATGGCAGGCACTGTGCAAGGCGCTGGGGCACAGTAGGGAACAAAAACGGGCACAATGATCTGTTCTCAAGGAATTTACATTCTCATGGGGCGTCCAGCAACAAACAATTGAACAAGTCAGATAGATACACGGAGTGGTAGTGATGAGCAGTAAGGAGGGAAATTAAGCAGCAAGGAGGGCTAGAAGTGTTGGGAAGCGAAAATGGTAAATAGGCCAAGGAAGGCCTCAGTGAGAAGATGACACTTGAGTAAAAACCTGTTGGAAGTCAGGATGCCAGACACACAGACATGGGGGAAAGGCAAGGGCAGATGGAGAGTGATCCAGGTAGAGGATCAGCCAGTGCAAAGGCCCTGAGGTAGGACCTATCCACACAGTCCAGAAACAGTGAGACTGGCCCACCCTGTGCTGGTTTCAGCAGTCCTGTGAGCCAGCCATGTTTACTACCTACGTACAGAGGAAGAACCTCAAGTTTAGTGAGGTTCTGTCACTAGTTCAAGGCTGCACAGCTAGTGAGGAGGTGGAGCCAGGATTCAACAGAGTTCCTCATCGCTGTGCTCAGAGTTCCAGAGGCCTCATGCTGTGGTCACTGGGTGACACCAGGGATAGCAGTGCTGGAGTTTAGGGTCCTGGCAGCATCCACACTGTGCCAGGGGGCCCAGGGGGATCCCAGAAAGCAGCTGGGCCACTGGGGGGACTGGGGCCTTGCTACCTACCAACAGGTACAGAAGCCAGTTTTGCTTGGAGGAGTGCTGGGCACTAGCTCAGCCTGATGGCTGCCTCCACCCACCCACAGTGCGCCAAGTGCCGGGAGTCCTTCCACGGAAGCCCACTGGGAGGCCAGCAGTGCTACCGCCTCATCTCCGTGGAGCAGGAGTGCTGCCTGGACCCGACGTCTCAGACCAACTGCTTCCACGAGCCCAAGCGCCGGGCCCTGGGCCCTGGCCGCACGGTCCTCTTTGGTGTGCAGCCTAAGTTCACCAACGTGGACATCCGCCTGACGCTGGATGTGACCTTCGGTGCCGTGGACCTCTATGTCTCCACCTCCTACGACACCTTCGTGGTCCGCGTGGCCCCCGACACGGGCGTCCACACAGTGCATATCCAGCCACCCCCACCCCCACCACCGCCCCCACCCCCTGCGGAAGGCGGGCCCCGTGGGGCTGGGGATCTGGGGGGACCAGGGACCGGGAGTGGGTCGGGCACCCCAATGGAGCCACGGGTGTGGGAGGTGTGGCCACGGGGCCTGATCACCTACGTAACAGTGACGGAGCCATCAGCGGTGCTGGTGGTTCATAGTGTGCGGGACAGACTGGTCATCACCTACCCCCACGAGCACCACGCCCTCAAGTCCAGCCGCTTCTACCTGCTCCTGCTGGGCGTGGGAGACCCCAGTGGGCCTGGCGCGAACGGTTCGGCTGACTCGCAGGGCCTGCTCTTCTTCCGGCAGGACCAGGCCCACATTGACCTGTTTGTCTTCTTCTCCGTCTTCTTCTCCTGCTTCTTCCTCTTCCTCTCACTCTGTGTGCTCCTCTGGAAGGCCAAGCAGGCCCTGGACCAGCGGCAGGAGCAGCGCCGGCACCTGCAAGAGATGACCAAGATGGCCAGCCGCCCCTTCGCCAAAGTCACCGTCTGCTTCCCGCCCGACCCTGCTGCCCCAGTTCCTGCCTGGAAGCCGGCCATACTCCCACCACCCACCTTCCGCCGCTCTGAGCCTTTCTTGGCACCCCTGCTGCTGGCAGGGGCTGGCGGGCCCTGGGGACCCGTGGG